GCTACTTTTGAACACAGTTTTCATTACAAAGTGTGTTTTACCTAGACACAGTGCCATAAAAAACTGTTAAGACCTACTTAAAAAAGGTTAGCATCCAAGCCATGGGGAATTTCTAAGGCCAGTTGTGAAATATTTGGCCACAAACTTTAAGATTAATCAGCAAGGAGAAAAATGTGTTACATAAGTGTAAGTCAGTCACTTCAGACTAAACTAAGATTTGCAGAAGCTCAAGTTCCTCCTTGCCTCCCCCACCCCCTCTTTTTAGTGTAAGCTGCATGAAAAGAGAGACAGAAGTTAGTTATTGATGTTAACAATAGTTCCATTTTGGAAGTTTAGTCATTCTTACTATTATTTGGCATTCACTCCTGAAGCAAATAGCTTCAAAAACTGGGGCAGTTCAAAGTTGAATACTCTATGGAATAAATGTCTATTAAGTGAATAGGACTTTGGGGAAGGGAAACAAAACCAACGATGATAAAAAAGATAGTGGCAAGGGCACAGGAAATGGCATACAGCAAGGTCAAAATGTGTGGGAGAGTGTAGAAGGGCCAAAGCTTAAAATTACATGGATAGACTTAAGCTGATGACAATCCAGCATTTCACAGAAAATGGTGTCTTTCAGACATTTTAATACTTAGAAGCCTCCATGCTCACCAGAACAAGCTGGCTCAATTTTTAGGATGTTTATTAGCTGGAGTTTGTAGGGGTCTTCCATGCCTTCCTTCACATATTTTTCTTTACATTTGAAATTGTGATTTATAATTTCTCTGCCTATGCTGGAGCTGAGAAATTCATTTCAGGTAAAAGAAACCTGAAAAATGAGCAGGGCAAGAATTTGTAATCATGCTTTCTAATTGCCCGTGTTTAGTGTCTGAGTCATAGAGGTATAAACAGGGAAGGTGTACAGCATCATTGCCATTTCAATCAAAGCCTAGAAAAGGGCTTATTAATTCCCAAATGGTTTAATTCAGGACTATATTTCTCACCTTTGTGTCTGAATACTAGAAGTACTGCAATGCAGGATGATTCTTCTGCTCTTTACTGATAACTGGATTTTGGTTTTCAAAATACACTGAGATTTTCATTGGGTGCTATACCATAACTAATGCAGAAATCTCACTAGAATCCTGCTGTGTATTGAAAGGCCATTCAAGAAATTTCTGGTAGGAGGAAAACCTTCACTCTACACTAGCAAACATGCTACACAAGCTATTCTGCTCTGGATATTTCACTCTGTATGTCAGAACAAAGGGAAGCTAGCTTCCACTCATTTATAATTATTGACTCTATAGCAAAGATAAGGTGCTTAACTAATTATGAAAGAAGATAATTTGACACAAGCTGGGCTGTGTATGTTGATTTCTTCAGCCATGTCCCTGATATGTAACACCAGAACCCGAGATGCTTTAATGTCTACTTGTTTTGGTTGCAAGTGGGTTTTCTAAATCAGTGTCACCCAAACCTGCAATTTTTTTTCAAGTGCACAGTGTCCTTGGAGATCTTCCTTGCAGTCTAAACCTACAAACTTCAGCTATTTTAATATCTAGACAGACACTCAGCATTTTATTTTGGAATTAAGGGTGATTCTTCTTTATATTAGAAACTTGCTGTCACCCATCTAAGAGCAGAGGAGTTTCGATTCTGCACCAAGCGAAACTGCAGGTTTAGCTAAACACTAATAGAAACACAGAGCGTGCTTTTGCTGCTTTTTTCCCCCCTTAAACCTATGAAAACATGGGAAGCAAAATGCAGCAACATATCCCTTCAAAAGGTGGGAGTAAATGACCAGCAGTTTAGAACTCCAGAATATAGTTTAATTTTTGAAGGCACAGGAAGTCACTGATTTACTAATTTTTAAAGTTCAGTTTCCCTCAGAAGTTTCACAAAAATATCTTTTGCCTCCTCTGAAACACAAAGTAACCAAAATTCAAAAATGTACTTCCTACTACATCACATGTTAGGGGAGGACCCACTGATAAGAGCAAATGTATATTGCTGCTGCTGTGAGTGAAGAATGTAATTTAAAATAAAGCAGGAACACTTAACTGCTTTAGTCCTTCACCTGTGAGTTTGGTCATCAGTTGGCCTGTAATCAGATTGGTGAATTCACCTTTCCTTTTTTCCCCCCTTTGTCTTCTAAAAGAAAACTTACAGCAAGTTGCTTTAAACTATTTATGAAAATCAGGATTCCACTGTGTTCATCTTAAATCTGGGTAGTTTATTTATAGTCCTAAGGTCTTGCAGCAATGCCTTCTTTCTGAAGTGCTGGCACCCTCATTTCAAGAATGAGGATACAATCCCACCTATTCATAGTTAATAAAACACTCAGTGTTATATTGCATAATTCACACAGGAAATTATTCAAGAAAAACAGATATCTTGCTCAGTTTTTGAAACACATAATTTGACTCTTCAAACTGATAGAGACAGATGTACGAAAGAACCAAAAAGAGAAATGGATAGCAAAATTGGGGAAATGATAACAAAATCACTCACAGATGCCTTAAAGCTTCTGTATGTACAATCTGTGTATGTAATGTAAGATCCTTGCTGATAGCCATTACAGAAACGTATTTGCAGGCACTAAAATGAACCAAAACAAGCAGAAGACAGCACTGGAGGAGACTGGCCTACAACAAGGGCAGAGGAAGCACTCAAGGCTCAGATGAACATGAAGAAAATTACAAGGTCTAAAGACCAAACAGAAATTAACCTGGCTACTGCAGAAAAAGAGAATAAAGTGTTCCTATAATGCATTAACAGTCAAAGAAGGGCTAAGAAGAATCTTTATCAGAGTTCAGTTTTGGGCCCTTCAGTACAAGAAAGATACTGAGGCTTCACTTCCCACAGTCCACTACCTCAGCACCAGAGTCTGATCATTTGACATTTAAAACACCTAGGGAGTCTATGACAAGAGCTGCCAGCAAGGCCACAAACATCAGATACTCCTACCAAGAAAGCCAGAAATGCGTACTTGCACTAGGGCAGTGGAACAAGTCAATCTAAAGTTTATGTATAAATATGAGCTAAATCCTTCAATTTCTGCAATGCACTCTGGTATTTTTTTGGTTATCTCAAAAGAATGCTGCTGAGAGAGGAATGTTTCCCACCAGGCTGAACTGTCAGACCTTCAGAGCAGAATCCAGGCATGCACCAGGGAGCATAGAGAATTCAACACACCAAACACCTCACCATTGTCTGTTCACAGAGCTGTTGGAAGTCACCTGTAACTCCTCATAAACATTTTGGGTGCACAAAATGCAGCTCATAGAGTAAGATTAGTTCTGCAATTTCCCTTCTGCTCTTCCCCCATCTCATCCTGTTAAATGCAGTTGAGCAGGATTGCTTCCAACAATCTGATGCATAAAGGAACTGAACTGATACATTGCATGAAATGTATTGTATGCCTTTTGTGTAGTATTCAGGGGTAAACTTGGTATAATTATGTGGCCCCAGACTAGGGGCCTACTGACCTAATTGCAAAAAAATGAGATTATGTGATATTACAGTTAAGACATTTCTTTACCAAATGAAACAATATTATAAATTCATTTCCACTGTTATAGTTATGAAAATTCAGCTCTAATGAGGAACTTCTCTGAGAATAAGCAGCTGAACTGAATTCTCATCACAAGAGTTTATATACTGTTACTGTATTCATCACTGGAAGCAGTACAAGTGAAATTCTGCACAGAAGCAATAGAAAATTACTGGGGAAAAATGAAGACCAAATAGATTTATTCTCAGAGAAACAAAAAAAAAAAACCCAAAAAAACTTTCTAAAAACTATCTTAACTGGAATGGAAAAATTCCCTTAGTAACACATCCTTGTATTATTATAAATATAGCCCCAAACAAGCAACTTTGGAAGAAATAAGGCTATTTTTTACATAACACTATAGCAAGGAAACATCTCTCAAGTATGGCAATGCTTTTGTAAGCAATTTCAGGTAGGAAATTTGAGTTCCTGTGACCTAGGTCCAAGGATAGTATTTTAATACACATTACTCTTCTGATAGAAAGACTGGAAACAATTCATAATAGGATTCAAAGACCTAATTACAATTTTGAGTACCAAACCCCCCATCCAAATCCATTACTGACTACATTACCCATATTTAACCATAAGCTGCCCTAACATGCAACAGGAAAAACTGTTTTCAGAATGATTTTAATTTTCTAATGTTAAAGTATTCAAGATTAGTTGCTTGTACCCTAGTTCACTCACTGCACAGACAAGTATTGTAGTATTTTCTAACAGGAATTTGAAGAACTGTGCACCATTTACTTGCAGTTTGAAAAACCATGTGTTTTCAGATACTTCTCAACCATGGTACAGACCACTCTGTGTGTGTTTAATATTGTTTGGACTTAGCACAATTAACTTTTACAGGAAAGCTTTACCAAAATTCTTCCTATCATCACAAGCAGGAAATGTCAAAAAACACAGAAAAAAAATGAAATTTACACCAAACTGCTCATGATTAAAGCTTGGTCATCATTATTGATGATGAGTGGTATTAATAATACTGGGAATACTGAAATACCAATTTTACAACTGAAGATAGCAACTTTACAGAATAGGTGTTAAGCAAAGAATTTCATGTGATGAGAGCTTTATAAAAGAAAACAACAAATATCCTGTGGGGAAAAAAGTGAACATTAAGTGTATCAAACAGGTCACACTATGTGTATGTCAACAGTTCCTCAATATTAAAATGACCTTCACATATTGTTAGGGCTTACAAAATACTGTTCATGGTACTTGAACAAAAAAACCCCGGCTGTTTGCCCAAGAGATTAACAGATAGAAGGAGCTCAGCTCTGTAGCTTTTAACATAGAGAATGATCTTACACGTGTACATCCTGTTCAGATCTGTGAACAGTTTGCAGTTCTATACAGGAAAAAGGATCTGACGCAGCAGTGAGCCAAATGTGGGACCAGGCACAGAGAAGAATTTACACAACACACAAGACTTCCAGACTCTCAAGAGAATTCATAAGGTTTCTGTACGACTGAGATTTATTGCCCATTTACAAAGAACAAAACGTAATTACAAGACAAATATAATTAAACATAAAAGCTCTCGAATTGTACAAAGATAGTAATTTCTCATGGTTGATGTGCATCGTTAAAAACAGTGCTAGCTTCAGAGACCTTTGCAAAGATGCAGTGTAATCCCCTGCAGTTACAAGGGGACGTGGCTGAACAGGTAAGACACAGATTCACCATTGTGTGTTCTTCGAATTGCCTCTGCCAGGATCATGGAAATGTCAATGAACTGAAAGAAAATTTGAGAAGAAAAATTTGATGGCATGCCAAAAGCAATAAACTATGCAGCTTATAAACATACAAACAAATATTCCATCTACCTTTGTAACTTTTATTTCTAGAGAGCAATATAACACTAAAGCTTAGGCATTGAACATACATAAGAGCTGCAATAATACCAAGGTAAGAACTCAAAAACTGAGTAGGAAAACATTGACCAAGGTCACTGAACAGTAAAATTGTTGAGTAGTTCTGACAAAGGGCATGTCGTCAAAAAGCCCCACTATTCTTGCCATCAGATGGCAGTGTCTGCTTGACATAATTACACATTAAAGGAAGTAGACCTTTTTAAGTGCTTGCCTTGTTTAAATAAATACCTAATGTTAAGCTTTTAAAAAAATCCAATAATGCATTTAAAACCTCAGTCTTTTATACTTTTCTACACTCTGTACTGAAGAAAACTTCCAAATGGGACACATGACTTTCCAGAACAATTCCATTTCTGTTTTACAAGAAAAAATAAACTTGTCTAAGATTTCTGTGGCCTCCTCAACAGAATAACTATTTCCTACATGCAAATATTGTATGATTAATATTGATTAAAAAAAAATAGAAAAAGGAAAAAAATCCAGTCAATTTTACATTTGTCATTCTTTCACAATCAAGCATATTCAATGTGAGGCAAATACCAAATATTTTGAAGTGGTCTATTATATTACCTGAATGCCCTTAAAACAGTACTTTAGCATGTTTCAGCAAAATGTTTTGCAAACAATGTATTTAAGAATATTAATTTTGTCTGAAGGCACAAATTCTAGCACCAGTGAGCTGTAAAATACAAATACTGAGTCTAAAGAAATGACATAAAAGCACAACTGTACCTGTATTTTTGGGCAATGTTTCATTTTCTCCTCCTGGGGGATTGTGTTAGTTACCACAACAGCCTCAAACGATGCATTATTAATCCGAGAGAGGGCAGGACCAGAAAAGATGCCATGAGTCAGAATGGCGTAAACTTTAGTAGCTCCAGCAGACATTAACCTGTAGAACACACAAAAATAGCATGCTGTGATGCATGGCTACAGATAAAGCTGGATGCAAATCTCTAAAATACATTTTACTTATGAAGTCATGCATATAAAATAGCTACAAAATAATTCAGGTATTTTTATAAATTGAAAAAATCTGAATTGTCTCAGAAAAATCCCCAACAAAAATTATAATTAAATTTAAAAGTTCTTATCTGTAGCAGTGATACTAATCTACAATGCTGCACTTAACAGCAGAACATAAAAATGAACTCCAGTACAAGATTTCCATCTTAACCAGGCAAAAAATTAAATAGGTTGGACGGCAGTATTCACAATTCTGTTGTGCCTCCATTATTGTCCACCTTTATTTTCATTTGCAATTCAAACAGTTCTGCTTGAAAGGAGTTTCTGACGAAGAAGAAATGTTAATGATTAAAAGCCCAGATTACTGCAAGGCTGTGGGAAGACAAGCTGCTGATCCAAGCACACAGTGAAGTGATGCATGAGGAAAAGAAAAGTATAAATCAAAGAACTAGAACACCTTGTGAATGAGTCAAAATATCCTAATTTAGTTTCTAATGGCCTCAATGCCTCCAGATGCTCAGCTATATCCTACCTGCTTCTCTAGCCTTAGAGAGGCCCTGAGGAATGGCATTTTAACAGGTCATCACAAAGGCACAGGAAGAAGCATAAGAGATGAAAAAAAAAAGACAAAACCAAAGTCATTTTGAATGACTTAAAAAAAAAAATTTAAAGTTTTCTGGTCATTTTCAGCACTACATTTAGTACCTGCAGTCTACAAGGAGTATCCATTACAACAGACTGAGTGTGTACCAAGTGTGTGTATTTGAGTTTGTACTTAAGCAAGTTGATCTGTTGTATCTGAAAATGTATTTCTTAATTCATCTGCTTGATATGCATCTAGGTTGCTCAGACAGAAAGAGTTCTAGGGAGTATTTTGGTGCATGAGTCTTATTATACACAAAGTACATCCCACCTGGATTTTACATTAATGAAAAGCATTAGTTCATGCCAAGAACACGATAAAAGGCAGCATCACTCAAGCAAAAGCATCTTTCTTAGTAAACACTGCAGATGCATTGAAGGTGATTGACAGTTTTAGAATTTGGTCTCTAGGAATGTACTATAAATAAATAGACTGCTTCTTTCAAAACAGGAAAGAAATAAAGGTTTTTGGCAGTAATTAACTTCCTCTATGCACAAGAATATAAAAAATATGTTGGCCAAGCAATTTATGATTTTGATCTGCAAAGGGTACAGCCTAGAAGAATACTTTGAGGTATGATGTAGATTAGAATGAAGACAGCAAACAACTAAACATTTCTGCAAAATTTCATCAAATTTCCATGAAAATGATAAGAAACACAAGACCATATGAATCTTTCTTCCTTGAGTTATTTACATCCTTTATATATGTGTAAACAGCAAGTCTGCAACTAAAGACTGTAAACTCATGGGATTAACCTTACTTCAAACCACCAAGAACAATGTCATTGCTTTCACACCATTTCCCACCACATTCCCCTGTGGAAATCTGCATCTCGTAGCTTGGACAGGTATACTTTTCACTGGGTGAAAGACTGGTTGGATGGCTGGGCCCAGAAAGCAGTAGTGAATGGAGCTACATCCAGCTGGCAGCCACTCACTAGTGGGGTTCCCCTAGGCCCACCCATTTGATAAGGTATTTGATAAGATATATTTGATAAGGTATTTGATAAGATAAATTTGACATCTTCACTGGGGATCTGGACGAGCGGATGGAGGGCACCCTCAGTTAAGGCTGCAGGTAACACCAGGTTGGGTGGGAGTGTTGAGGCCTGAGGGCCTGAAGGCTCTGCAGAGGGATGTGGACAGGCTGCATCAATGGCCTGAGGCCAGCTTCATGAGGTTCACTAAGGCCAACTGCTAGGTCCTGCACTTGGGTCACAACAATCCCCTGCAGTGCTACGTGCTCGGGGAAGAGAGGCTGAAAAGCTGCCTGGTGGAAAAGGACCTGGGGGTGCTGGTTGAGAACCAGAAGAACATGAGCCAGCCCTACTACTAACCTGAAAAGAACCAGCATAAAGGCACCTGGAAAAACATAAATAATCCTTTCTACTTAGCACTGCTAGAACCTTAGTTAGGATAGTGGGTCTACAGTCACAAGCTCCACTTCAAGAAGTAGAACAGCTGGAAGGAATCCAGAGGGCATCACAATTGAACACAAGTCTACAAACCTTGTGGAAAGACTGAACAAACTCAAGTTACTCCAGTCTAGAGGGAAATGAGAATTCTTCAACAAACTTTCAGACAGAAGACAGGATATCTTATGCTCACCTCCGCAGAGGAAAAGGTCAAGTAGTTTTATTCTCAAGATGTACAGTGAAGATAAATATCATATTTGCATTGGACACTATGGCAAAAATACTTTACAATGTTAAATTCAGTAAAGCTTTGTGAAAGATTGCCTAAGGAGAGTGGAAAGTCTCTGTGATGAGGTTCAAGGGGGAAATGATTTTTAAGCTGTTGTTTCTGCCTTGGAACTGTAAAGTGCACTAGAAGGCCCAAGTCCTTTTCAAGTTATACGACATCTTATTTATTCTGTGTTCTTCCTAGGGCCAGATCATATATTTCTGTAAATATTTTCTCAATTTCATGTTCTAAAGAAGGACACAGCTGAATCACAGAACAGTGACTACCGACTCAAGGGCCAGACTTCATGCTATGGAGGTCAGGTTGGGTTATGGGCTTTGAGGACAGCTGCATTCATCAGCTGTGCAGTGAGTGAGAACACTACAGTGAGACAGATGAGAATAATACTTACTTGTCTGCTGCATGACATATGGTGCCACATGTGTCAGCCATATCATCAACAAGAATTGCTACTCTGTCTTTCACATCACCAACCAAGACCATTCTGTCCACTTCATTTGCCTTCTTTCTTTCCTTATGAATTAGAGCAAATTCCACATTCAGTCTGTCAGCAATTGAAGTAACCCTAAGTTACAGGAAGAAATACACCACATTTAGAGAACCATTTTAAGAGAAAAAACAGTCATACAGATATATTTGTCACAAAACAGCTTTGTTTTCTGGCTTTTAAATTACCACAGCAAAAACTTTTGCAAGGAATACCCCAAAAATTAATTTTTTAAATTGAGTTGACTATAGTTTTCTGTCATTAAGTGCCTGGCTTTGAAAACATTTCAGCTATTCACAAGCTTTTATTAAGCTGCTGCAATACTAGTCACACTAGGTAATTTAAAGCAGGGGGAAGTAAATTCTAAGCCTACGGGAATGTGCACTTTAACATTTTAACTGAAAAATACCATTGCAGGACTTGAAACCAAGCCAAACAGCAAAAAACAAACAGGTTAATAATGATTAATAATTCTTTTCACAGTACTTGACTAGTAATCAAGTAGCTTATTTCATTAATAATTCCCTTAGCATACATCTGCTTGACAAAGATCTTTTAAAACTCTTCAGGGTGACCTCTGGTGGCCAAACAAACTTGCAATAATAAACTTCACTTGTTACAGACCTCTGATTGCCTTTTTCCAGTTTGTTTAAAATAATAGAGCTCTTAGGAATACAGAGACAGGAATAAAAAATTCCACGTTTTTTCTAAGTGCTGCTGCAACCTTGTATCCTGCCTTTTTAGACTATGCCTAGAATGCTGTTTACAAGGTTATTAACATGCATGGTTAATAGAGAATACAGTTTTAGTTCTCTATCACTTAAATATGGAAGTTTTAGTTACTGAATTTCAACAAATGGATGATAAAAAAATCCAAAAATTTTGGCGTTTTTTCATGAATAGTGTAATTTCATAGCATATCTCAATATCTCAGAGGCATTAAGATATCAATAGAATTTCCATGCCTTATTTCAGCTGCAACATCTAATAAGCTGGAGAAAAACCAAGCAAGTGGTAAGAAGCAAAAGAAAATTCAAGTATCTTAAATAAGTGCAAGAAAATGGATTTATTTTAAATTAAGAGTTACAGATATAAATTTTACAGTAATTCATGTTCAATTTTCACATTCTATTAAATTTTTATTCAGTTTTATTTTGAAGTTCTACATATTTTAAATGGAAATGTCAAACAATTTTCATTTTATTACTGGAGGTGAAGGAGAATCTATGAATTTACTGAAAGCAACATCTACCCTTATTTCACCAGAAACTGGTTGGTTGCATTACAACAGAAAGATACTAAAGATAGACTGTACTATCTATATTAAGTACACTATCTATATTAAGTACAGTGAGAGTGATCTTCAAAAAATAAACTTTTATGACTAATTTGATAATGCAAAAATGTTAGGTAAGGGAAAAAAATGCTGTCTTCTGACTTGAATTCTAAGCAAAGACTGTATTTTGTTTAAAAAACAAAACCAACATAAAAATCAAATGCAAAAATAACACTATCCTGATAGGAACAAACAAAGAAATTTAACAACAGACCCAAAGGCTCAAATTAAAATCAAATTATGACAGTCTTTGACACTTTTCCCCATACTACATTTCACACACTTAAATTGCTATGGGTGTACAGGAGTCTCACTTCATTTGTCTTTGTTCTCTCTGCAGCAGCAGCACAAGCACTGAAACCTGAAAATAAGCATTTTGCCTCAATGGCATGCTTTATGACCTCACCAGCCAGCCTGCTTCTGAGCTCTGGCATTGGTTTATGCTCAATCAATACCAAATAAAACAGAGTTTGCTAGATGAGTAACACATGCTGTGAATGAAGAAAGCCTGCAATTAACTAAGTTTACTGTTTTTACCCTTCACGACTCTAACTTTAATTCCCTTCTTCTAACATTTATAGCACAAAACTTGGGGTCAAGCAGGTTTACATCTGGAATGCAATAATGTAAAGAAAAAAGAAATATGAGTCAAGCAAGCTCTTACCTAAATGCCAGCAGGTACAGTGGGAATAGGCCATATGCTTTGACAGAGAAGGGAAGCTTAGGCAATTCCAGAGCGAAGCAGGAAGAGGTGCAGCAACTTGACTAAAGAAGCAAGCAGCAGGAAAAATCTCTTCCCTCTGGTGGAGGGATTCAGCTAATGAGGCCATATCCAGGGAGAGAGAAAAATATCTTCTTTAGAGTATAGAAAGCTCCTGAATGTTTTCAAGCATGAAAAACACTGGAAGAACTAGTTGTTCTGTTTATACAAAGCAGTTGGATTCATCAGTGATGTACCCTATACCTTGCACAATTCACAGAGGAGTACAGAAGACTAGACAAACTAGATCATTACCCACTAACTCTATGGAAATCTAATTGTTTTAGGCTTGTATAGTACCTTTTTGCACCACCTGCATCAGGTGAGACTATGATACAGTTTCTCCACTCGGGAATGTTCTCTTTAATCCACTGCAGGACTGCAGGTTCTGCATACAGGTTATCTACTGGAATGTCAAAAAAACCCTAGTCCAAAAGAGAAAGAGTTTCATGAATATTTGTTTTATCTTACCTGGAACAGAGACAAAGGGAAAGAATCAAGCCTTTGCCTTTCATGAATGGTAGAACTTCATTAGTATTTTTCACTGATTTAATTCTGCTTTTGATACTACTGTCAAATGCTGATGAAGTCAAATAAATATTAAGGTCTCTAAAAATATCACCCAAGAGTAGTGAAAAAGAATGTTCTCAATTGATATAAAAATCATAAAATATGATCACCTTCAGGCACTCAAATAAATTTGTGCTAGTGAAAAGCTCTCAAAAAATCCAGTGCATAATACTCAACTTCCATAAATTTCAACTGCTTGACATTAACAGCAGTATTTCAACATGGGTAAGACTCAAACTAAAATGGAATATTTGTACAAGTTGTAAAAACAAGAAATCTGGTTTAGACCTTTTTATTTATGTGACAGCTATCGGGCAAAATAAGAAACTCTGATTAAATGGAATGCCAGCACTGAAAGATATGGTGTTTTCTATAAAAAATTAAACACGGTACACATGACAATGACAAATTATGTCTGCTGTGTGTCTGAGGCAAAGGTTTTGTGATTTGCTGGATTCAGCATAAGCCAGGTAGGGGTTGCCAGGCTCCATTTCCATTTCTTTTAAGAAAATATTATACCCTTGGCAGTATCAAAAAAACTCTACCTAGGGCAACATTATAATCTCTGACAAGGCTAAGATTAAGAGAACTTGCCCCAAGCCAGTATATTTTATGTTCTGTAAGCCCTTACATTAGACTTGGAAAATCCTACCAAAGACTTTAAAGCACAAATATTTGAAATGACTACAAAATCACCCCATAAAATCGAGACTGGTCTCTATCTAAAAGAGAATTTAATTGGAAACAGGTAGCAAGACTTTCCCTGAACCCTCACAAGTTCTGTACACAGCCTCTCAAAATAATGACCAAAGCCCCAGAGAATTACGATTAGCTTGTCACATTGATTCAGTAGAGCTTCTAGGCACAAGAGATAAGAACCAAGAGTTACCTGGATCTGAGAAGCATGCAGGTCCATGGTGATGATGTGGTCAGCCCCTGCAACTGACAGCATGTTGGCAACAAGTTTTGCAGAGATTGGTGCACGGCTCTGAAGAATAAAGCACAGTTGTTTACATTTAAAAAATATTTTGACTAGATGAAAGCAATCAGAAGATTAGTTAATTTTCTTGGTTTTTTCCTTTACAGTATTTGGAATCTAGGTATGAAAAGCTTCAGAACTTTAGCCAAACCAGCTTATCAATCTTGCTACTAGGGTTCTGAAACTCAGTAAAGCAATTAGGAATATCTAAATCAGTTTGAACAGTCTGCATAATAATGCTTTGTATTAAAGAGATAAAATTTGAAATATAGTCTTCTAATTCTTCTACTTAAAAGTTTCAGCTAACTTTTTCATAGCAGAAAGACAATCTTAATTTCTCTAAGCCTCTACTCTACATAAACACTCAATTCTATCTTGTTCTAAGAAGCATTGCAAAACCAAAGATTGAAGGCAAAATGAACCAAACTTTTGAGAACACTGCTTTAAAACAATGTTAGTATCAAGCATTTCTCCATAACACTGTAAAGCTTGTAGCAGATCCTTGTTGGCAGAGGTCTTTTATCCTGTTTTTTTTCTTTTTAAATTTATGATTAATTCCTGGATGCAATTAGAGCTCCCAAAAGAGACAGGGGAGGATGAATAAATCCTAAGCAGAAAGAATTAAAGAAGAAGAAATATCTTATTAGCAAAGTTAATGCCAATGTCAAAGAGATTTTTAAAAGCACCAAGGACATTAAAGAAACAAACAAGCACAAAAAGGAAACTATGACTGGAGGATACCTCACTCTTTTTTCAGTTACTCCAAAGTTCTTTCATTTTTTAAAGCTCTGTAAAAACCTATGTTTCCCTAGACAGTTTTCTCTACACTAAACAAAAACTCTAAACTAGCACTAAACAAAACCTCCTGCTTTCTTTTGCTAATCTTTAAATAAGGCTGGCTATAGCATTAGCATGAAGGCAGAACTGCAAGTCAGAGTTTCCAAGTCAATATCAGACTGTTTTCTGCTGGCACAGTGTTCTCTCCTGATACATCTCTTTATTACAGAGCCTCATTTCACCTCCCAGGAACTTCCTCTCTTTCCAGCCCATACACACAATTACAGAGTACCTCTGCTTTCCTACCATTGATACCCAAGGGCATATGTGACAAGGAGCTGAATCACTGACAATTTAGCCAGGATACTGTTTGATTTGTGTCCTATCAAGAAGCCAATATTTTCATCACAACTGTTCCTAGTTTGGGTGGACACTGGGAATTTCTCTGTTTTTAACCTGCAGATTGACAACATACTTCCAGAACAGAAACTGAGTTTCGTTTCATGGCCAGATCAAGTTTATCACCATCATTACTTAAACTCTTCCTTTTGAAAACCATCCCTTTTGGTCTTGTGTTTCACAGAACATCACCACCATTTTGTCTAAGAGACACAGAAAGGAGATGCAACAGGCAGCACTCCCCTAGACCTCTGTAATTCAGATGCATATGGCTTCCAGAAGCATTTATCATCATTAGTGCTTCAGCACAGTTGATTTTTCACTTACTGAGGACAATGCTACTCTTCATTTAAAAGTTCAGTTCTGTAAGCTGTCCAAAGCTTTCTGGATATTTCTATTATTAGTAGCAAATTTTTGTTCATGCTATTTGAATTCCTGATCACTTCAGCTCTATCAAACCTCTGTCAACATCTAACAAAAGAAATATTTGGTATCTACTCTTTTCATTCTAGTGTTCTCTTACCAGCTCTTTACAGAGATTTAGTTTAATGCCTCCACTAAGCTGGACTAACAGCTAAATCTGAAATTAGAGGTTTGATAAAGGCAAATTACATTCTTTTCAGACTGTGGTTTTGGCATTTCCACTCCATTCAGCACACTGAATTTTGTCCAATTTTTTTCATTTCTGTTCAATGTGGATACCATTCAGTTTGTCTCATGTATCAATATGAGTATCACCATCAAAAAAAAACCCAAATAAAATACTCTCCTGCATCCCACACTAATGCATACATTACCAGTTGGTATTTCTTTCAGCTGCTGGCCTTGCAGGCTGCCTTCCCAGAAGGAAGAACTTGAAGTTTTACCACTAAGTAACTTGTTTTAGCAGATATCCACACATCACAGATTGCCTACATGTTGGGGGGCAGAGGGTCTTGGAATTAAAGATAGCCAGACACCAGTACCTGTTTCTTAAGAATGGGCTAACAGGAGATTAGGACAAAAGAGGCTTCTTGCAGCTGAAGGTTTCCTTCACACAAAATTGTGCATTAAAAGAAAACCCACATGACACATTTAAGATTTGCTTCCTTGCATAGAAATTATGTTTTGTGCTACAATATGATGCAAATTGAAGACTATTTTAAAACCAAAGAAAATATATTCATGGGAACCTCAGATAACATGGCCTCATTATTCAGAAACCTGGATGACAAAGGTGGATGAGAACTCATGATTTTCCTTATAATGTAGTTCGTAACGTTTGCTTCTGATGAGAGAGGTAAGAACACAGATTCACAGCATTCATAGTTCAATTCTTTGATGTAATTTTACATTATTTTCAGAGCTGTTAGTGTGAAATGCAGCATTAGATTACGTACATGTAAATTGTTAAAAAAATCACTTGAATTACTAATGGCAGGAGGAATCCACAAAGCTAATACAAACAACCTCACAAGAGTAACTGTGCAAAGGACACATAGCTGAAAGTAAAAGTTCTCCATCAAGATCAAAGCTCTGTTGCCTTTAAGCATCTTAGTACATTGTCTTGCTCAATATTCATCACATGCACACTGAACAGAAAAAAAAAAAAAAAAGGAAATCAAAGAAAGCCCAAAGATTTATAACTGGAACTTTCACTTCCAAGAAAGCCAGTTGTGAAGTGTATGGATACTGAATGTTCACTAATGCATTACTCAAATTTGTAATTTCAAAAATGAGATATGCTTTGAAGCCTCAGAAATTGACAGCCATTATCTTGAATGTCCAAATAATTTTTTAACTAGAATCTAGGGGTTTTCTTGTAGCAAATTATTTCACAGAATTACTGTCATGGCCTAGGTGAAACACAACTGAAATCAAGAAGTGAAACTGGAAATGTTCCTAGTTATACATAATGTAACCCAGTAAGTTTCACCCTTTAAGGCCATATTAATGGAAATGCGTAGTGTTAGATTAAAAAAAAAAAAAAAAAGATACCTACCCAACGCTCCACGGACCCCTTCTACAAATCAAAAAAACAAAGTTACATGAGCTGTAGAACACCAAACTCACCTGTCACTGTACTTCTAACTTATCCCAAAGGCATCTCTGCAGCATCCTACATAAAATGTGTCCTGCCCACAGCTTGGAAGGTTAGCATAATTAGAGGATGCATAAGTGCAGTTATAGTCAAAGCACAGAAACATATGAGCTATTTTTAAGTTTAGCTAGCTTGTGCATCAGAAATATTCTTGTTAAGGGCAGCACTTGACTGAATCTAAATTAACTTACTGACTTTATCATTCTCGTAAGCCTTTTTTTTGTAAATCTGTTTCTCATTTAAAGATTGTCCAAGTTTAGTGCCAAAATTTTCAGAGTAGATTAGATTGCTCAGACTAAGATTTTTACTGCAAGGCCCTTTCCTTCCATAAATAAAGGAAGAACACTTTAATTGTTGTCAGGAATCATAACTGCATCAGAGGTATGAAAAATACATGGTTATTTTAAGCAGCAAGGACTCAGTCTACTTAGCTTGTAATTAACTGAAGTCAGTAACTTAAATTCAAACCAGAAAACAACATCCATCTACTGAGTATTATACTGCTTCAGTTCATAGTCAAGCATGCTACAGCAACATCTTTCAGCACAGAAGACAATCTGTGTACAATCATAGGAAGAAAATGGCTGGCACTTTACTGGCACTTCAGGCATCACACAAAGCTTGTGCACTCATGATGGGTCAAAGACCAAATGATCTGATGCAAGCAGGAGGGAAGATGTCCCTGTCAATAAGCTGCCCAATGTTGACAGCTGTATTATAGCTTATTTTGCAACATGGAGGTCAACTACCAAGGTTAATTTCCAAAGACAGCAAACATTTTCTCAATTGCGAAACTGAGCAGGAAAAAAGCCCCACACACAACAGCGACAAAAAATTTTTGCCTACAATTGCGGAACTTAGTGACACAGAGAGAATAGTCTGGAAAAAAAATCTCAAGGTCTCTATTACTCAAAATTGCTTTCCTACACTATTAATTATCAGATGGCAGTTCTGAAATACAAAATATTCCTGGACGGGTTAAAATGTCTCTGGAAGTCTACCACAGGGAATTTGGGTACCCTTGACAAGACAATTTAGATGCATGGAAATTTTGGAATATACTCATCCTTTTCCCACACCAAGAGCTTCAGGGATGGTACAGCACAACTTCTCAATATGAAGTGGGAAATCAAAACATAGTGGATGCTTTCCCCTCTTTTCAATAAAATGCTTATTGATTCCCTTTCAAGGTCTTTTGATAAAAAGTATGACACCCCTTCTGATCAAGGGAAAGCATCATCCACTACAAAACAGAAAAAATGAAGTACCAAGAGATGCAGGCAAAGAAAAGGTCTTACTTTTTAATTCCGGAATTTCATGTTTGGAAGTATAATAAGCACACCTTCATAGTAGTAATACAGTATTACAGAGCCTGCACTTAAAGAATTAATATACCAAAAAATGAGGTTTTTTAGTTTTGTTCTTGGATATCACAGGCTATTACATATTTTGAAATGAGTGCTATTATTTTTCCCTTCTCCATTACTTCATTCCTGCTATGCTTTTTATCTAAAAGAATATACAGACTAACAGAGGGATGGCAGAGTGGCTTGTCTGATGCCCAAAGTGAAAGAGAGGGGGCGGTCCATTTACAGGAAGTAAAGGACAGACAGTTTTTTAAAAACACAACCATTGCAATCCAATCCTTAAAGCCAAATTCACATTTCTTACTACTACTTTTTGAATGAGCTTAGGTAAAATTATCATTCATATAACATATCAAAGGTTTGTTTTTTTAGTATATATTAGAGATAGAAAATCTAGTGCTCTATTTTTTTTCATAACATAAATGAAAATAATTCTTACAGATATAAAAAAAAAATGTTTTAAAATGTTTGGCAACAGAAAATGTTTTTATTAATTTCTATTATGTATTGTAGATTTTATCAGTTCCTTCCATTATGCTCTGTTTAACCATATAAGATAAAACCTACCTATATAATAGTTACAGCATTTTGAATTTAGTATTTAATTCCATGCAATTAAAATGTTTTAAAAGGTGTACTCTCTATATTGATGGGATTTAAAAACCAAAAAAACTTTGAAAAAGCAAAATAAACAATCCTATAAAATGTGGTTTGCTGGCAAAGTACTCTGCAATAGACTACATACAAAGTATACCTACTTTTGCAAACTGAAGGCATGTCAGTTATCAAAACACAAGCAAAAAAATAATTTATTGTTTCACTTCATTCACTTGTGGATAAAATAATTAAGCATTTTACCAAGAGAAAAGGTGGGGGGGAAAAATAAAATCTTTTGAATCACTTAAATGTTTATGAAATTTATTAATCTCTCAAAATTTCGAGTGAGCAAGCTGAACAGAAGCCTTCCAAAATGACACAATTCTTACCTACCTTGTCCTTCTTATCTTGCCTGGCATATGGAAAACATGGAATTACAGCAGTCACTCTGGAGGATGATGCAATCTTGCAAGCATTGATCATGATGAGTAGTTCCATTAAGTTGTCATTTATTTCTCCACAGCCACTCTGGATAATATACACATCTTCCCCTCTCACACTTTCACCAATCTCTACACTGAAAGAGCAGGAGATGATCATTTCAACACTTAAATTACTGGAAAAGCATGACTAAAAAGTCCAGTTGTGTTTTAACAAACTACCACAGGTTTTCAGTAAACTTCCCATTTAGAGTAGGATTATTTTTACAGTGATTCCAATAACAGCCTCCTTGACACAAACTCTATTTCAATATTTGCCAGTATGGTCTTCATCAGGTCAGCACCAGCCCAGCTATCAAATCTACACCATGAGGTTTAAGTAAAGTGTTTTTAAATGAAAAAAAGTCATACAGAAAAGCTAAGAAGGCTGCTAATCAACAGCTTACCAGGGCTCAACTCTCATGTCATGTCAGTTAGATTTGCTCTGAAAAAAACTCTTTTGTTCTTTGGTTCTTTATGTGAATATCTAATTTTTTTTTTTTTCTCCCACAGATTTCAAGACAAATTCTGGGATCAATCACTGCTCACACCACAGGATTAAAAAATTAAATTGAGTTTAAAAACAAACAGGAAAAATAAAACTGTTGAATGTGTATTTTTTCTCAATTCTAGATCCAAGCAAAAGATATCTACTGCCGAACCACATTAACTTTTCAAACTTGTTACTCCAAAACTTACATATAACAGAAAAACTTTGATTTTTCCTTAAATCCATGTACAATGTACACAAAACATGCAGACTTCCTAAATAAGTAAGTGATTAGACCTTGCAAATCCATGCTCTACTATATTAATCTCAGTTATTAAATGATAGAATATATTGAACCCTTATTTAAAAGGTTGTCTCTTTACCCAAGACACAACTAAGCAGAAGTTTCTGACTGGAAATCATCCAAATGGCCCAGATGTGGGTAGAATAATTTCTCTAATGGGTCCTTCAATGCTGAGGCTTGCTCTAGTCAAACACAGTCCTAAGAAGTTTTGTTTATCAGGTCTCAGGGTGCTGTGTAAGACCCATGACCTTTCCATAGAAAGGAATTTACTGCTTTTAAACATCTTAATGATAAGCACCCATTTGATTTATCACCACCAAGATAGTTGAGTACATGCTCTCAGCTCCCTTACTTGAGTTTTCTGCAGTCCCTAACAAGCCACACAAAGATCTTCTCTTTTCTCCTTAACTGAATACATTTTTCTTTTTTTTTTTTTTTTTTTGGCTAAGAATGCTATAGCAGGATTTCTTAAGGTCAAAAGAAAGCAAATCATCAAACATCAGGTATCTGGAAGGACAGAGGTGGTCAGGGACAGCATCATCATCTGCAGATACACCAGGAAACCTTTTGGAGGCTTTCATAAATCCACAAAAACACAATTTTTTTAGCCACAAAATTGTTACTTCCCTCTCTCAGTTTTTGATCAACAGAATGAGGCCATTCAGAGAATACTGTTTTGATAAAAATATTTTCTTAGTCTGTTTCCCTTTTTGGAGCTGGAAAAGTTTTGGTCAACAAAACATTTTTTCAGTAAGATACTAAGTGTGATAAATAATTGGAAAAACTAGCCAGACTTAAGTAGGAGCCCTCCTGAACACAAATCCAGCTCCAGGTGAAGAATCTGCACACTGACTTATAAATGTGGCCTCAATCATTACTATAAGCTTTGTGGTTATCGTGAGGGCTTAAAAAAATTCTAATTGCACCCTGACTCAGCAATTACACAGACCTACTTTACAATGAGTGTTGTTCAAACCACGCCTTTGGAATAAACCCAAAGAAGAAAAATAGTTTATTACTTAGGAAAAAAAAGAATAGATAATTTAACAGTCTGGCATCACACACTAGGAAAAAAACTGGCTGAGTGATAAAAGTATATAATTTTAATGTTCACTATATACTAAAAGAATACTTGGAGTTGCTTTACTCTTTTAAAAACTGTCACTTCTATGCACATCACTAAAAAATAAGTTTTCAGAAGGTCAAGGAATATACTTTCAGACAAATATAGGTCTGGTTAAAACAGTGGACTGAAGTAATGATTTTTCCATTGTCATTAATTGTATTTTTTTTCTTATGATCTTGGGCCACCAATAAATGCCATCTTATAAACAACTTAGAAATGCTACTTCTTCCTCTCAGTGCATTGGAAAAAGAAGGGTAGCTATGTTTTTAAGGCTAGAATGACATACTTGTCACACAGAAATGTCACATTTCCCAGTCAACTCAAGAGAGCTGTGCAACAGATCAGTCTAGATACAGCCTGTAATAACCACACTGGTGAAGGTTTGGGTGGTGTTTGTTTTTTACTGGAGGGAGAGTGGGGAATTAGCAGTTTGGGTTTGTTTTGGTTTGGGTTCTTTTGTCCCTATCCCCTTTTTTTTTTTTTAATATTCAGGCAACCAATAAAAGACAAACTATAGAATAATCAGGTATTTGAATGTTGTATTCCAGTATCTATTAGACGACACTAAGCTAACTGCAGTCAAACTCTGTGACAGTTATCTTACTAACATTTCTACTAATTTTTTCATCTATATAATGACCTCATTAGCTGTCTGCGAGGTTATTTAAACAATTTCACATAGTCAGGACACAGAGGAAGGACAAAAGAACAAGCTCTTGCCTCAAGATTACAAGCTCTGTTTGTTTTATGCAATTTAATCAAATTCAGCTATTTGGTAACAGTTTAAATAAATTTCTGTTCAAGAAGAGTCAACAGAACCTGTACATTGAAAACCCTGACACCACACAATTGTGTTTAAAAGGGAAATTTACAAAAATCAATGGCCTACAAAAGTAATTAACTCTGAGCCAGCTGCTTGGCATCCAGAAGCAAAAGGCTCTAGCTGGGAAAGATCCACGTAAGACAGGACATGATGAATACCAAGTTTAAGCACTGGTATTTGCCTGCAACTTGCAAAGGCTGATTTGAAAGCTTAATTCAATAAATAGAAATTTGGGCAGACTAATAATCATGAATAAAGGATACAGCATAAAACCCACTTAGGTTACAAACATATTTCAACGGCTGAAGCATCCATTAAGCAAAAACCAGAATCAGGAGTAATACAAGACTGAGATCCTTTTGAGCTAGACTTATAGTGCAGTCCCAGCTGAACTTAGTGATGGGAATTACAAATTTGTACATTTTAGCTAAAAACCAAACACCTGTGGGGAAACTGGAGATTAAGTATGTAAAGATAGACTACAAAGATAAATAATGTAAATACATAACTAGGATGTTCAAATCATACACTTACAAGAGCTCTATGTTTGCTTTTTAAATAATTACGGCAGATTAAGTTTCTAGCCATGGTTACAAAAAGTAAGATTTCTCAAGCAAATTTGACGCTAGTAAAGTAGATATGTACTTCAGGCCCTTCCAGCACCCAGGGAAGAGTCCAAAAATGAAGGTCTAGAGTCCTCATACAGTGTGCAAATGAATCGATATCTCAAAAGTGATCAAACAAATCCACATGCTGAGTTTGCATGAAACCCAGCCAATGGCAAGCCCTGAGCAGCAGGGTGTGTTTGACCTCTTACCTTTGGGAACACATTTCCCAGAGTAAAGTCTTGCAAAGCAAGAGCTTCCACTTACCAGGCAAATATTTCAACTGACGTGATGTTGCATAACAAAGTGGGTACCAGAAAAGCCCAAAACAACAAAGATACAATAAAAACACCAGAGTTGGTTTTAAGTCTATAGGGATCCTGTATCTCCTGGCACCCATGGTGTTCCCTCAACTCTGGGCTCTTCCACTTGGATTAGCAGTTCCAAGACAAACCCCCTGCTGTATCTCCATTAACAACTGCCCAGTTTTAATGCAGAGCACTGGTATGGTAACACCAGAAGACAGGAAATATCTTGTTACCCTCTACTCTGGTACACAGCCTGCCACTGCAAGGGGAAAACACATTTTCTTGAGCAAGTTCTGGGTTTAACAACATGCAGTCCAAAAACTACCCTCAAAAATTTGGAAACAAATGTGCAACAAGCCTGAACACGTACAAAAACTCTTCAAAGGCTGCGTATCAAACTATGCACCTAAGGACACCTGGGATTGTTAGCCACCATTATTCACACATATTGGGGCTTTATTTTTGTTTGGCTTTCTTTTTTGGGGGGAGAGGGAGGTGACATAGGTGGTGGTGTGTTTTTTTTGGTTTTGTTTGAGTTCTTTGAGGCAGGGGGTATTTTTTTAATTTCAAGTATTCAGTATCTGTACAAAGATAAAAATGCACAGTATATGGCAAGGTCAAAAAAGTGGAAGTCTCAAACCAAAAGCTTTAGAGGATTTGGGGCCTTTCCCAATTCAGAGCAATGCAATAAATGGTCATATTTATTGAATCTTCAATTCCCTATACAAACACACTGTTGTGGTTTTAACACACACAGTGTGCAGTCCAGAAACAATTTTTACCTTCTCAACCAAGCTGGTAAAATCTTTTTCTCCAGCCTCCCCTTGCTCATGACAGTGCAAGCAAGCTGGGAGAGAGGGAAACAGCTGCCCCCACTGAGAGAGGCAGACCACAACCAGCCCAGCTGGGAATTACTTGCTCAGCAGCTGGGCAGTATGAAGAAACACTTCACCTCCCAGTGTGTCCCTAATCCCTACTGTCTTCAGCTGTTCTAACACCAGTGTCTGTGACCTGAGCTTGCTCATTCCATGATTAGGGATCTGCAAACACCATCTACGCAGTGAGGGTGATAAAGCTCATGGCTCCACACCAGCTGAACCCAAAGGAACCAGGTTACACAAGATGCAGTGAGGTCATGTCTCATCTGAGACAAGTGCAGTACACTGATGCTGATGGGGAGGTAAGGAGGAAGTCTTAGAGCCAGGTGACAAATTGTAAATCCCCAAGATGTAAGTTTCCAGGTTTGCTCCTGATTTTTTTTCAGTTATTTTCTTCATGGAGCAAACTGGTTTAGTTTCCCCACTTTGCGTGAAATACAGACTCAGACCCATCCTGGAATGAATTCTCCAAGGAAACATTAGCTACTTTTTCCTAACTTCCAAGATCAAATATCAGCCCATGACATCCAGTTTAATTTACTCACAAGAAAATGGCTCTCATAT